TAAATTCGATATTAATTAAACTAATGTAGAATATTTATTTTAAATTTTATTTCTTTATATATCAATAGTTTCTCAATGATGATGGTTTAAAGTTAGATAAGATTAGAAAAAATAAATAATGTTATATTATTTAATAAAATGTAATTTTTATCTTTTCCATTTAGTTTTCAAAAAAGTTGATTGAATTGTTGTAATCAATCTATTAATTATAAGGAAAGAAAAATTTCAGATTTATCAGAAAAATCCAGGAAATTTTTTCTACAATAGTTAAGAATAAGTATTTATATAAAAAAAATAAATTTAAATCTTTTAGTATGCTAAAATTATTGATTTTGTTACATTTAGATTTCCTTATAAACAAAATCCTCTTAATATATTAATTTATAATTATATGTAAATCTTAATAGAATAATGTTCAAAATCATTTTTTTAAATGCAATTTACTATATTGTTTTTACTACTATTTTTTTCTTTAAAATAAAATATATTGGTATTATTCCATAAGTTGTTTCTTGATTTTTAATATATCTCCAAAAAATTATGGGGTTTCAAGTTCATTTCTAAAATCGCAAAAATATTTTCTAATTTCTTCATAATTTTTTAGACCTTTTTGATAAATAGTTTCCATTGAGTATATGAAATCTTTATATAATTAAAAATACTTTTTAGCCTTATTGAAAAAATTTATTTCGGCTTAATTGTTTTCAAAATTTCTTAAGTGATTTTCTAGCCATAAATTATGCTTTTTATATGTTTCAATAGTTTTTTTATTTTCTGATAATGCATTACTTTCTTTACTTAAGATTTGAAGTGATTGATAATAAGGATCATTAAGATCTTAAAACTTAATATTTTAATTTATCATGTCCTCTACTATAAATTTAATTAATTCTTCTTATTAGGGTACTAATTGTTAAGTTTTGTAAGAAAACTCTATTAAATTTTCAAATTTGTATCCATACTCAGCTATTTTAATATTATTAAATATCTTTCCATATTCTTTAATATAATGAAAATACAAAATTAATTCTTAATCCTTTTTGATATCTTCAAATATTTTAATAAACTAAAGAATTTAATTTACTATAAATTCGTAATTTTCAACATGTTCTTTAAAAAAGAATTCTATTTCAATTGATTTTTTAAAATTTAAATCATATATTTATTTAACAGATTAGTCATTTCTATTAATAAAATAATTATTTGAATTCTATTAATTATTTTACATAATTTCATTAATTTTTTTTTCATATTTATTTTAAAAATCTTCAGGTATCAATAAAATGATTTTGTAAAGTAATTCTAAAACTGATTTCATTTCATTATTATTATTATTTTCTACAAATTCGAGTTAATTAATTTAATCCATAATTTCAATTAGATTGATCTTTGATAATTTATTTAATAATAATTCTAATTTTATGCCTTATTCTTTTAAAACAGATTCTGAATAGATAACAGTTTCTTTTTATTAATTTGCTTCTTTCTTAATAACTTACTTTTTTAAGAAATACTTAAGGTTATCTGGGTTTATTAATGGATTTTAAGGTAATGAAACACTCCAAATAGTTCCAATTAAATTTTGTTATAACATTGGTAATTTATTATATTATGTATAAGAACTTGTATTGATTAGATTAATGGGTGCTGGAGGGGGTCTTGGAGCCCCATTTTGGTTTTCTTTAATTGGATTGCTTTAATTTTAATTTGGTCTAACTTAAACTGAAAAAACCAGCCTCTATTTCTATCTTTGTTTCTTTGGTATTTAAATTTCAATTTCTTTGTCTATTTTATTTTCATTATTTTCATTATTTTCATTATTTTCAATTTATTTTTCTATTTTAGTTTTATTATTTTTAATTTATTCGTCTATTAACATGTCCATTGTTTACCATTTAAAAAAAAAACAATTTTGAAAGGATTCATATTAGCTTTAAGTTAAATTATATACTTCTCTTGATCTTCTTAGAATTAAAAAAGGTAATTCCTATTCTTAAATTGTAAATTCTGTGCAATTTTCCCAATTTTATATTTAGAACTAATTTATTTTCAATTTAGGAATATTAAACTAAGAAAACTAGGAATGAACAATATCCATTAACTAAAGGACAATAAATTTATTATATATTTGACCATCTATAAGATTTATAATTTAAATTAAAAGAGGCAATAACTCTTCAAATTACAAACTTTTAATTGCTGATTATAAATATTACGCTATACAATACAATATTTCGCAATTTTAATCTAATAAATTAATCAAACTATTTATCGAAATTTAAATTTTTTATTCTAACGCTATATTTAGAATAATAATTTTTTTCAAAATTTCTTGATTGATATTTAAATCATAAGTCAACAAAGCTTTCTCTTCTACACTAGCAACTTAATATATCCATTTTAATGCATAAGTCATTTCTATTAAGTTATTTGAATTGATCCATTTTTAAGCATTTTCTAAATCATATATTTAATTTTTTCCAATTGAATTAAAGTATTGTTCCCCTGCTTAAAATAAAATAGAAGGCTTATCATAATATTATTCATCAAGTTCAACTTCCTTTAAAAAATCTTTGATTATATTAGGATTTATTTATTTATTTAAAATAGTTGGATCAATTCTAAACTGAACTATTTATTTAGATCCTTTAATCTCTCCATAAATTATTTATAAGCCTGACATATTTAATAAATTAAATTCAAAATAACAACTCATTTACTTTATATATCTATTAATTATTCTATTAGGTAAATAAAAAAATTTTAAATTATACATTATCAACGACTAGAAAATTAATTTTAATTTTCACATATATTTAAAATTCAATCATATCTCTATTGTAAATACTAAATTAAATAAATAAAACTTGAAATATAGTTCAATACAATGGATGTATAAATAAACATGAAGTGATCTCTGAATCCAATAGGTATTCAATAATTAAGAATTTAACTTTTTTCTGTGAGGTAGTTATAATTAATAATGTTTAAGGTAATTATAATATGAAAAAACTTAAGCAAGTAATCTAGCTTTTTTATTTAGTTTTTGCATTCATTGAATAATATTAAAAATAGCTAAAAATTAATTCTAAATTAATAATCTTTTATTCTTAAAATTTATATATATATATATATATTCAAGCTTTTTCTTTTTTACCAAAAATTTAATAAATTAATTTATTTTTTTCTATTTTTGATTTGCTTTTAAATTCTTAAGTGAGTATTCACAAATATAAGTATAAATAAAATATAGATTAGTGGCACACATATGATAGAAAATATAATTTATTAAAATAAAAACTTTTATTTACTTGTTCATCTAATATTTTAATATTTATAATAATTCATCAAAATTGTTTTATCAATATTCCTAATGGTTCATCATAAGGAAATTTAATTTCTTCTTTAATTTCATTGATGGGTTTTACTACAAGATAATTAGATTCTTATAAACTTTCACAAACTTATTCAAATGTATCTTTTGTTATTTTTTTTCCTAATTGATGACTATATTATAAAATTGAATTTCCAAACTATTATTCAAGAATAAATTAAATTCTAGAAATTTCATAGAGTATATTATCTAATCTACATTTATCTTTAGCTCCTTTAAATAAATTTGAATATTTTTATTACAAAGTATGAATAGGTATATCAAATTTATTAATTTGTTCATTAATTTTATATTAATTAAAAATATTTGGTTTTAAATTTTTGAATTCTGGATAGTACATAGTAACAATATCATGAAGTAAACCATTTTCAAGTAAAATGTTATTGTAATAAAAAGCGATATATTATAAAAAAAATATTAATTATACTATTGAACCAATATCAGCAAGAATTGCACCCAATTTCGGCATAGTAACTCCTTCAACAATAGATATATTATCAATTCTAAATAAAAATGAACTAGATATATTCATATTATAAGCATTATTTTTAGAAATTAATTATATCACATTAGATATAAAATTATTATCAACTTCTTAATTGATTATTTCATAATTATTTAAAAATTAATAATTGTTTTCATTGCTAAATAAAATACCATCATCAATAATAGTTTCTTATTATTTTAACATAATTTATGAATAAATTGATTTTTATGGATTAAAAGCTTAATAATAAGTTTTTTTAAAATTTTCTAATTCATTATTTTTATAATTAAATTGATTTAGAATGATAGTTATATCTAAGAATCCATGATATTAAGACATATATTCTAAAATAGAATTATCATCAGCACAATAACCTCTATCCTTTAAATAAATATCTGAACAAGAAGCAAATACTAATAAATATTCTTACATTTCTTCCTTATTTTCATTTTATTTGTTTCCATTATTTAAAATTAAAGTACCATTATTTAATATTATTGAATTAGGTAATAATTCTTCGCTAAATAATGCTATTGGTTTATCGTATATTTAACCATTTTTCAATGTAAATAATAAGGGAGTTATTATATTATTCTCAATTCTAAAAGGATCAACAGATGAAGTAAAATCTTCTAAAGAAATATAAATTAAGGGTTCAGACCATTTAAATTATGCATATCCTGTCGTTTTTTATTTTGTATTTATATTTGGTGGTATTTCATTATTAATCCACTAAACTAAAACAAATAAAAAATATGCAAAACTTAAGCTACCTAAACAAACTGAAATTGATCCTCCTACTCTACTTTAGAAGTTAGATTCTTTATTTTTAGTTAGAAGAGTTAATTAAACTCCAAACATATCTATTTTTTCCATCATTTCAAAAAATTTGTTCATATGTGGAATGATAAATTAAATTTATTCTAATAAAATCTCTAATTTCTCTATTGTATAATAATTTTTAATTAAATTTAAATAAATTCTAAAAAGAATTAATTTTAATCTAAACTAGTTTTAATCACGAAAAATTGCTTTAATTTATTAATTCATTTCTTAATCAAAATGTCAATCAATAATCTAATATCTTGTTTAATACACAGTTATTTTATTCTTTGTAATAAGAACATAATTGTTTTAAATAATTTATTTTATATCTGTTATTTAATAAATATACATTTATTTAATATTATTAAAATATCTTAGAATTCATATAGACCGAAAAATCTCTGTAGAAAATTATTATAAATAAACTTCACAAATTATAAATATTCCAATTTTATTATGAATTATATAATTTTTGAGTAATAATAAAAAAAGGATTAATTCTACACCCATAAAGATAACATAAGTATAATAATGCTAAAAAATATGGATGATTATTAACCAGAAACTTGGTATTGATATTTAAATTTGGAAGAAGGCTATATAAATAAATTATCTATTAATTTATTTGATAAATGATCGGTTGCATAATTGCTTTATAAATTAAATTAATTCTATAGCATATAGGATGAAAGATACATGATTTTGGTAAATAAACCTGATAAAAGTTCTAAGTTCAAATAAAAAAAAGGTTTTTAATTTCTTTTTTATTAAAAATTAAAAAACTTAAAATTCTTTTATCAATTAATTTTTATTTCAAAGAAACTTTTAAATTAAGAAAGCATATTTTATTTACAAAAATACAAATTTTCAAAGTCTTATTATTTATTTCAAAAACAAGATTCAGTCTTTTTTTATTAATTATAAAAAATATTTACATATTAGATTTATAAAAAGCATCATTAATAAATAGGTTGAAATTTCAAATTGTATTCATCATTAAAAATCTGTTTAAATATTTATTAAAACTCTAAAATAACGCTTAATAATGTTTATATTTCAAATCATAAAAATTGATAGTTGATTTGGTAAAATACACTTGATAAATCCTTTAGATGATTTATTTATACATAAAGAATCTTTTAAATTTTAGATAATAATTATAATGAATAATCTTCTAGAAAAAGATTAAATTTATATCGTAAATGAAAATAAATAAATTTAAATTAAAGTAATAATTAGCTCTTAGAATAAACACAGACAAAATTATCATAATTGCTGATTAGAAAAAAACTATAAATACCATTATCTTGATTTATTATAATAATATATATAGATTTAAAAGTTCTTTAGTCAGTAATTTATTATGATTTAGATATTATTGATAGCTTTTTATAAGGAATTATTTATTGATAAAAAAAAAGCTGTTAATAAAAGTTAGAACTTAACTTTACTTTGATATTCTGATATTTTTGAATAGTCATTTATTGATAATGTTTCAACTAATCTATGTTTGTTATTTTTTATTTAAAATAATGATAAACTTTTAAATTATTTACTTTAGAAAAACCAATTATTAAACAATTGATGATTCATTGTTAAAATCTTTTTATTCATTTGTAGTGTTTGTAAGAAATAGATTAGGTTAGCATTGCAGAAGTAAAATAATAATAATTAAAAAATTAAGTTTTAATATTTGTATGACAAGAAATTTTATAATTTCAAATGTCCAAAAATTCAACTTGTAATATATTCTATTGAGTGATAATCTTATTTCTTAATTTTTAAAGAATAATTATACTATTATTAGTTATTGTAATTAAAATTTCTTTATAATTTGATTATGCAGAATATTGTGCATAAATATAGATTGAATTGATTGATCCATGACAATAATGATTTAAGTTATAAATTTTATTACTACCACTACAATTATTACATTTGTTTAATTAACTATGAACCTTTTTATAATTGGATGGACATTTGTAATAAATATTAATATTTAACAATAGTTTGGATTCATCAATAATAATAAATTCTGATCCAGGTGAATTAGAAACTTTATTAAGTTCTAAAATTTAGATATAAAATGGTGGTTTTGTATTTGATGTTTTATCATATAATTTACTTATTCTAGCAGTGAAACATTCCATTGCGGTAAAGAACTATTCTTAAACATATTTTAGAAAATATGGTTATATTTTATTTGTTGGATAAGCATTAGTATTCCCTAATATTAATAAATAAGTTATTACATGTTGCAGTAGTATAACTGATTTGATTGGCAGTAGGATTTAAAGCGATTGAATATCTAATATTCAAAAGAGAAGTTGTAATTTTCATTTGAGCAATTATAAAATAACTGTTAGATAATTAATTGTATAATTAACTAGTATAAGCACTTGTAGATGATACTTAATCTAAAAATGTTAGAATTTCAGTTGTTCCTAATATTATTTAATAGCTAACAGATACTAGATTTTAATATGCACTGCTCATACCAATTATAACATGTTCATATGTTAATTCTGTTATCTATTATATAATTAAAAATTACAGAGAGATCAATATTAAATGTTCCAGTATAAGAAAAACTAAGTATTGATATTATTCCTTTTTTGATATTTGGATTTTAAATTTAATATTATTTTGAAGTAAAAGGTGATTAATTTAAATCTGTAATTACTTCTAAACGATTATCATCTATAGCATACCATTAAATTTTATAAGAGCTAGCCTTATTATTAGGGCATGTTATTTTTAATGAAAAATCTAAATATTTTTTTATTATTTATTACCTATTAATGTGACACTCAATATTTCAATGTTTACTTCATTTTTAGTTGAAAAAAAATAATCAAAAGTTGTAGAAAAAAATATTATCTTAGGTATATTTTCAAATGTATTTGTAAATGGTATTGTAGTTGTTTTAGTAAATCCATTTTAACAATTAAATCCTGATTCTGTCCATGTAAATTTATTAAAAACTTATGAATCATAGCTAATTGTTTCTCTAGAAATCTCGATTAAAATTATAAAGAATAACATTTGTTATTTAATATTTATTATTTATTAAATTTAACTATTTAATTGGCTATCAGAACTTAATTCTCATTCATCTCAATTTTATATTAATCTCTTTGAAATTTATAAAGAACAATTAAAATAAAATTATATTAAATTAACTTAAATCAAATTAATGATTATATATTAAATAAATTTATTTTATTGATCTTCTAATACATATGTTATTTATTTATTCAACATCTCATCAAATTCTATAAGTATATTAGATATTTTCTATTTTTATTTTTTATATTATTTGAGTTTTCAATCCAATTATACATTCCTTATTAAATCAAAAAATTTTATGATATTAATAAAAATTAATTAGTAATTAATTTTTAAATATTGAGTGGACGTTAATATTTTTTATTTAATTGATTAAATAATATTTTATTTATTTAACAGCTTAATAAAGTGTAAGAGTTATTTCTATGAATTTTATAATCATTATTTCAAGTATAGAATGGGCTCATAAAATTGTATATATAATTAAAAATATATTATAAACTTAATCCTAATATTTCATTTTATATTCAAATATAGCCACAATCTATAATTTTAATTAGCAAGGAGCTTTAAAAGAAATATCCTTTCTACAATACCGTACCAATAAATTATGAGAATATGAAAATGCATTAAAGATAAATATTTTTAGAAAATATTAAACTAATATAAATTTAAATTAATACTGAGAGAAATATTCATCTTTATATAGATGCAAAAATTTCTAATTATTTCGCTTTTGAGTGTGGGACATTCACACATTCTATTTGCTGTATTAATTATTATTAGAATATTTCTTCTAAAATCATAACATAAGTAAATATAAATATCACTAACTTGTCTAACTATAATAATTTTTTTTTAACAAAATTATCTATCATAATTTACAAATTATTATTTAAATTTTTTAAATCAAATTGAGAATACTAAAAATAAGTTTGAAAAATAAAAATTATTTGAAATGAAATAGAAAATAATAAAAATCAATTATGTGGGGTTTGATTTCTAAAAAATAAAATAAATTTGGATTAAATTTTTAGATATAAATTACAATATTTAACTAATTTATTTATTAACAGAAATATGATTTTCGATATCTTAAAATTTGAAAACTTCTATTTTTCTAAATTAACTCAAAAATTTTGCAGTCTTACTATTATTAATACCTGCAAATTTTAAATTTTATTAGAAAGAGCAAGATTCTTTATATAAGGATACTTAATCAAATGAGAAAACGTTTATTACCCAGTTACATCATAATAAAGGTTAAGCAAAGAAGAACATTTTGGTGCTTTTCTTAAAAGATTTACAAATAGTTCGATCATATATATTACCATAAAATAAGAGCTACTTTGATTTAAATATCTCTAAAATTATATTTATTTTTGTGATACTATTTAAAATAAGATCCTCCTATCATGTTATTAATTGACCAAAAATATTATCTCATAATGATATCCAATACTTTAATATTGTTATTTTATTTTTGATGTATCTTTTTAACTTTCTTTTCTTCCTCTAAAAACTACTTACAAAAGTAATGAGATTGTTTCTCTTGATTAGAGGAAGGTTATTAAAAATTTTCTTATCTCGTTCTAAGCAAAACTAAATTGAATTTTTATCGCACTCAGTTTTATAATTTTTTTAATTCTTTTTTTTGACTCCACCTAGTCCAAATAAATTAACAAACTTGCTTCATCTTGTTTCACTTAAACATTAGCAAATAAATAGTGGCGATATATAAAATTTAGAATTAGTAGTTATTTTGAGATAAAATTAAATTAATTTTAAACCCAAACCCATAGTTTATAGTAGTTCAAAAATTTAATGGAAAGCAACTTTAAATATTATTTAATATATACATTAGAATGAAATAATTACTAACAATTGAAGAAATATCCTTATTAATCTAATGATTGCATAATAGAAAAAGCAGAATCTACGGATCACCAATATGAAATCAAGGAAGAGCAGCAGTTGGCTTAATTGTAAAGAATTTGATACTTAAACAGGAAATTGTCAGACTTTAAAAAGCCATTTAATAAGGACTGATAGTCAAACCACAAAAAATAAGGAGGTATATTGAGAAATATCATATTTGAAAAATAAAATACTTTTATTCCAACAAATCAAGCACAAAAATGGATAAGACATTATTATGGTACATAATTTAAAATTGATAGCTCAGAAAAACAAATGAGAACAAGTACTTCGGGATTTTAACCCTTTTACTCTACAAAAGACTAGAGGAAAATGACATAAAGAATTAGTATTCTTTGTAGATGTCAATCAGATAAGTCTTTAATGAAATGGGCTACAGAGAAAAAATTTCTAATAATACATGGAAAAAATAAAGTAAACTCCATTATATCTATAATTTGTTAAATAAACGCAAACAGTCTTTGTTGAGGACGTTATAATCATTTTTAATAACTTATATATAGGTAATATTCACTGGATAAGATATGGTGTCAAATCGTGATTCCGAAGCTTTAAACGAATATGATCAGTCATTGTGCCATTCGAATTTTAATTAAATTTAATAGAAAAATTAAATAATATAATCTTAGATTTATTTTTTATAAATTAACTGATTATGAAATCTCAGATACTAGACTTAGTAATATTAATTCATCAATACTCAAATTACTGCTGGAGAATTAATTTCTTTTCTGAAATCATTAGATTAAATACCAAAAATTTAAATATTAAAATATAGAATTTTGTAGTGCATTTTGATTATTTAAAGTAGGTCAAGAATAAGGTTGCATACCTTTGAAGAAGCATGAAATTAATACTTAAAGAGAAATCAAATATATAGGTTGAATAAAGCGATATAATTAAAAATTATGAATCAGAAATTTAATCAGTCGATAATAAACTACGATGCCACAAAAAAAGATCAAGTTGTGTAGTAAACCTTAATATGGAAAACTATTAATAGCAATAAAATAAGGAACTTTGATATAATTTACAATGAACGAAATTTAAAGCGAATAATTAAGCTCAATATTCAATCAAAATTACAATAACACACTCGATTTAGTAGCTCTACAAATGGCAATTTTTTAAGTATTTAAGGCAAGTGGAGTTAAGTTACAATTGCTTAAATTATTCAAATAAAAAGATAGAAAAAATATATTAGAAAGTAAGGCCAACAAAATTTTTATTAAACAAAATATAGAAAAAAATTATAAAAAATAAATAGCTAAATAGGAGTAATTGCCATCAATGATTACGGAGAAAAAATAAAATTATTACAACAGCTTAATTTAATCTAAAGAATAACTTACCAAGAAACATATGAATTGGTAAATTATTTATGATTTAGCAAAGAAGGGTAATTAATTTAAGATATGATTTTTTAATAAGTTTAGTTTATATCCGAATAAATTAAATTTATTATTATATGGGTATATGTTACTACTTTATACAGAAATAACATATGGACAGAACATATATTAATTAAATTAGTACAAATTAATTCACTTTTAAGTTACAATAACTTTCGTTTCAAGTTATAACAGGGATTAAAGTAGACAGAGAAATATTAATTAAAAGCTGTTGAGATTATAAATTAAAAACTTAATTGCTCTTTAATTAATTCATATGGTGCAAATGAAACATCAATACTCTAGTCTAATTAAAGAAAAATAACAAAATTAAAATAGGGAAACTAGTGGCTAATACTAATTTGAACATTTATCATTATTAGATATTGCAATTGTGCAAACAAAATACATGCAGAATAATTAGATAAAGTAGACACATAGTACTACTGGTATAAAGTCTATAAAAAATTCATTCTACCAAAGGGTAAACTTCTCTTTCATTAAACCTTATTGACAGCGCAAAAATGCTCACAAAATAGTACCTACTAATTTATAAGTAAAGTTCTGTCGTTTATATTTTTGTTTCTTTATACAATAATTCTTTGATTCAATTATAAATAGCTGCATTCATTTACATATCTTATGTTTGAGCATCTATTTTTCATCAAAAAAATGTTAGATTACCAATTACTATTGAAACTCTATATATAGCCCTTTAAAGTGCATCTTCATTGATTTACAAAAATAAAAGCTAATACTAATCTTCTAAAGTTAGTAGTAAACCTTTAATCACAATTAAAAAGCAGAATATGGATGCAAAAAGCAATTTTCAAATTCATGGACTCAACAATAATGGTAGAGAAAGTTCTGAACATATTGATCATTGGAAATAATAGGAGTAATATTTCTATTTACTTAATACACAATATAGACCCTTAAAGTTTATGTGAGCAAAGTTAGTTATTTAGGATTAAATTCTTAAAAGATAAAATAATATTTCATATCTCACTTAAACATAAATATGAAATAGTTTATCTAAAATATTTTAGAATTTTCACTAAGTATCGAAAATAATATCAAAGAGGACTAATAATATGATAGAAGATATTTAGTACTGCTAATATGACAGAAGTATTATTAAAGATTTTTTAAATTTTCTTAATTGTAAGATAATAAATTATTTATAAATTAGTATAAATAGAAAGTAAATTGTTGTAAAATAAATTTTTAAGTTATAACTTAAATCTTAATTTTAATCCTCATATTTCGTATTTAAATTATATTTGACTTTATGAATAATCAATTCAACTTTTCAAAGCAAAACGACCTTTAGATTTTAATAATTATCTTAAATCTACACTTTAATGATTGACAAATTCTCCTTTTAAGATTAAAGCACCTTTTGCTTAAAATATCGGTATCTTGGTTATAAGAAGAAAAGTAATATTAGAGTTTACTAAATATAATTATAATATATACCACTTAATGGAAGATTATTAGATATAAATTATCTGGGAGTTCTATTTATTATCAGATCTTAACATCCCATAAAAGGAGAGAGTAATCTTTACTACCAGATGCTAATGTATTACCATAAAGAGAAGCTTACTGATATGACAGTATTGCTATGACCATCCAATTTACTCAATTTATGGATTTTTAAGTTTTTCCACTTACAATTTAATAAAAATGCTTCATTCAAATTCACTTACATTTATTTTTTAAACACGAGATTGAATAGACATTATATTTTAAATTTATTTTTTCTTCAATCCAATTAAGAGCACAATCAAAGCATAATTAACATTTACAATTTTTCTTTGTATATAGTTTAACAATCATTGAAAAATAAATAAATAAATCAATCCCATTTTATCAAAAGCTCTTATTAAAATTTTGTATCTTTTTTATTTGTACTAAAGAATATCACTAATTTATTCCATAGATAGATAAATGATGAATTTCAATAAAACACATTAACCTACTTTTAAAGGGTGTATAACTGTTTAATTATAACATAATAACAAGTATATTTCATAAATTATTATTTGATATAAATCATAGAAATAATCAATAATTATTTTAATAATGAATTTTTGTTAGGAGCATAAATCTTGTCCTATTAATTTCATTTGCATAGCATCCCATTATTGTTAAAGAAAGCTTTGCTTAGCTTGTTTACAAAGTCATGAATGATGAATGGGATGAAAAATATACATATCGAGTAAATTAATTTTCTGAAATGCATCTAAAAAAAACTTGAACAATTTAAGCCAAATGATATGAATTAATAAAATTAATTAAAACTGCTTTCCAAGCCGTGTTTGAAAATTTTGAAAAAACTATTTTGCTTTTGAAAGAAGACCATTATATCAAACTCTATGGTGATTAACAATAAAAAGAATTTAAAACAGATTTCGAATTTGAATTAAACAAATTTGAAAAGCTCCTTTCTCAAACTAAGTAAGAAGTTTTTGAAAAACTTGATTATTTTTTTTATCTCATTAACAAAGATGATCAATTTTATTTAAGTTTAATAGATAGAAATGTTAGCTACTTAACATAGTCTGAATTTAATAAATTGACAAATATGTTGATAGTTGATGGTTTATAAAAATGGTAAAAATTCTCTAATTCAGTTGTTAAAAAATTAGAAGAAGCATAAACAAACTTAAATTTGTAACTTGAAGCCTTTAAGAATATATACGTCTTTTAAGAAAAATAAGAATAAAAATGTTTAATTTGGAATTTAAAGAGTTGCACATTTCTATTGGTGTAAGTTGATATCGTTAAGACTAAGAACAAGGAAGTAAGATATTTAAAGGATGGTGAGATAATGAGAATGTATGTATTTAATTATAACTTATTAGTGATTAAATAAAAAACGCTTCTGCTAAACCTGAAGTTCTTACTAATTTAGAATAAATAAAGTATTTATAATGGTAGGGAAATTATGGATTGAATAATCATAAAATAGGGTAATGGAAAATTCTTTGGGATTGTAAAATTTTGGATGGTGTTGGAGGAGAGTATAGAGAAGGGGAAAAGTAAGGGTAATGGAAGGAACCTATAAAAAATTATTGGAGGTAAAACCAAAATTATTTCTGAAAATAGTTTATCCTAGGTGTATGAAATTGGTTAATATGACAAAGATAAAAATAAGGGAAGTTGGAAGTTAATAGAAAATGATAATAAGATGTATTTGATATAATTATGTAAACGTTAAGTGGTGGTGGATAATACAATTGCTTTGGTTAGAAAGAAGGAAAATGGATCGATATATATGAGAATTTTTTTAATTATGCTAAAGTCACTTGTGTTGGGAATTATGATAAGAATGGTATGAAAATTGGTAAATGGGATATTTTGTATTGTAATGACATCTAGAAAGAATATAAATAAATGTAAATAAAATATTAGTATAGATAAAATAGTGGTGGTGGATAAAATGATTAAGAAGGAAATTAAAAAAAAATTGGAAAGTGGGTGGAATTGGATGAGAAGTTTAGATATTATAAATAAGTCATTAATTGTGGAGAATACAATTTAAATGGTATGAAAATCGGTCTATGGGATATCATGTATTGCAAAGACAAATAGAAGCTATATAGATAAATGTAAATATTTCACTTGCATATCAGCGGCGGTGGATGTTACGGTTCAGGAGATAATTCAAAAAAAATTGGAAAATGGGTTGAATTTAGTTTTTGGAAATAACCCACTTACAATGGTGAATATAATTTTCAAGGTATGAAGATTGGTAGATGGGATATTATGTATTTTATCTAAGGAAAGAAGGAATATAAATTAATGTAATTATTATCTAATTATAAGGTATAAGTGGTGAAGACAATATGATTTAAAAGGATTAGAGAAAGATTGGAAAATGAATTGAATTGGATGAAGAGTTTAAGGATATTTTTTAAGTCATTTTTCATGGTGAATATAATTTGAAAGGTGCAAAGATTGGTATCTGGATGAAGATGGATATACAAAAAAATAACTCAGTTTTTGAAGAGAAATTTGCTGATTGAAAAGTATAAATAGTATTAATTTGCATAAATTAATATCAAGATTTTAAACATATAGATGGATTATTTTAGAAGAAAAGAAGAAGGAATAAAAGCTTGATGCTTAGATTAATGCTGATGGAATTGAACTCATATTTTAGTATATATTGTTGAAACTTCGAAATATAAATTGGAGCATAAGACTTCAAAGATATCACTAAACTTATGAAAAATACTATAATTATTTTGGATAGATTTAAGTGATTTATGATGGTCTAAGATGTAAAAAAAGATAAAGTAATCGTTTAATGTCAATTCTACATTTAAATAATTAATTATAAAGAGTGAATAGTAATAAATTTAATGTAATGAATTAGTGAAAATAACCTCTTTTTAAACTTATTTGAAATCAAAAAAACATTAGTATTTCCTAAATTATATTCTAGTACTTAAGATGTCTTAAAAATATTAATTAAATCATCCCGTCAAAAAAGTTACCAAATGCTTCCTAGATGTATTAAGGAAATAAGCGATAAAGCAATTGGAGCTGAAATGATATTGATAACAGTTGTTTGTAAAATGAATAATAATTCTTAGGAATAAATGTTATTAAAGTTGTAAATGAATTAATTAATAGGATAAAATTATCTTTAGTTTGAAATAGATAGCATAAATATTATTTGAAGATACTCAATCATTAAATTTTTTAAATATCAGCATCAACAGTTGTATTTAGATGGTTAAATTGAATTAAAAAATATCACATCAATTCTACAATTATGCTACAATTCAAATTTATAGAATTTTCAATGGTAAAAAACAATAATGTTTGAAAAATCTATTTTGAGGGGAAATATTGGAAATATAAATTCAAGAGCATTATACTTTGGCTTGATATGGCAATTATAAATTATTCAATATTTGGAATTGAAATACAGGTAAATAAACTTATAAGATTTGAAAAGAGTGAATAAATTTATGGATCAAATTGTAATTTTTAAAATATTATGATATTTGGGATATGTTAACTATTAAAAGGGATTATAAAAATGGAAAGTTTATCAGATATTTAGAAGATCATTTTACTGTCATTGAATTAATTTGAATATCTTAAGATAGATTATTGCTTGCCTCTGTCAGCATTGATGTAACACATATATTATTAGATTTTAGTAAATAGGCTTATTAGTTGAACATTCTAATTTAATTTTCAGTTATATTTTCAATATTTTTTCGATTTTTGCCTAATGCAGTTAATGTAATACAGTTATTTTATGCAATTACTAATCATGTCTTAAAAAGACGAACTGGATTTTTAAATTGCAAGAAATAAAACCCAGTTCATTTAGCTGAATGGATTAATATTTGCATCTGTTAGTTCTGATAAAAATAATTTAAACAGAAAATTTAGATAAAATTAGAATGTCATTTAAAATTCAGAGAATTTTTAGCTTTTAAAATTTAGTTACATTTTAGGAATTTCTTATAAGTTTTTTATTTACAATTACCTTTCTCTCCAATTATTCTAGATCTAGAAGTAAGGATAAAAAGACATTTATCTGGAAATTCATAGAATCATTTCAGTAATGTCAATTTTTTTATATTTTCAAAAGCTGTTCTTAATTTAGCTGATTTCATCTAAATAGTTCAATTATTTCATGGGATTATAACACTTATAAATAAATTAGATAAAATGGCAACTATTCTAATTAAATACACTAACATTTTTTCTTAAAATTGCTAAACTAATGATATGAGATTATGAAGCTGGAATACTATATTAAGGATGGTCATATTGGAAATATTGAATCTATTTCTTATTCTTCTGATGATAAAATATTTAAAATTAAGTAGTCAAAATAACATAATCTAACTTTGTTTTTTTCTTCATTAAAATTACTCTTTTAATATTATTATCCTTTTTTATGTAATTGAATAGTAATCCATCGAAAGGTATTGAAATGAAGTTAATCCTAGTAAATTATTTATTTTTTTGATATGTATTTTAATGAGAAAAAATATATTCCCCTTGTTTTCAAAAGTTTTGACATGATCTTTATATAAAAATCATCATATAAAATAGAAGAGTTTGATAATTTTTCTATAGAGAGGAGTATGAATTATTTTTTTTCAAAAAATCTTATCAATTTACAAGCATATTATTTGTAATATCCCAAAATTTTTCTCATTTAATTGTAAGTGAAGATTTTATTTATTGTATTCTTAGATAATGGATCAAATAGTATTTAACATTTGCTCTCTCACTTTAAATAAGATTCTGATTTTGTTTATTAAAATCATTATTATGTTATTTTCTTTCTGTTTCAAAATATTAAAGTATGATTCAAATCAAAAAAGATTAATTAAGAATCAATAGATAAAATTTTAATTATCACTTAATTTGATTAAAAAAAATAAAAATTTTTGATTTCACATTTATTTCCTTTTTGTACAATGAAACAAATATAAACTTTTCATTTGGAAAAGTTGCAAAATTGGCTGTAATCACAGATCATGATTGATAGTGAGTTTAAATTTCTATTATAATTATTAAAGTTTATTAAAAATATTTTAATTATAACTCAATTATTAGGGCAATATTATTATCTCCAAAAATTTTTGAAATAATAAATAAGAATATGAATTGAAGCAACTTTTGATTACATAAAATAGAGATTTTGAAATAGAAATAAAAATAAATCAATTAAATGTTTATTTATCTTGTTTAACTTGAGCCTACATAAGTTAAAACTTAAAAGAAATAACTTTTAAGTCCAACTTTTAGAAATTCATTAAATTTGTCTAGATTAAGAAAAAATCATTGATGTGAATGAATTATTATTTATGTATCCAACGATTATTTTTTAATTTAATAAAATGCAACAAATAAATTATGATGAAGCTCTCCTTACCTTTTAATGCTAGCGTAAACATTTAATAATTGATTCTAAATATAATGTGTACCTACTTCCTCAAACTTTGATTCTTGCAAGCGTAATTATTAAACATTACTTAGAATCCGAAACAATAAAATCCAAAATATATAATATAATTGAGCTTAACATCCAAAATTTATTGGAAAACAAAGTCCAAAACTCCAATTCTTGAAAAATTTGGATTCCTTTACAAAGATAAAATAAAATACTTTTCTGCCACATCTAAGGAATTGTAAAAACTGAAAGATTTAATAAAGGGGAAAATTATGTAAAAGGACATAAACGATTTTTATTCTTCTAATTGTCTATTAGGAATAGGTGTTACTTCTAAAGTATTGCTTGATAGTATATTTAAGGTGTATTTGGTCACCAAAAAGGATGATCAATCTCAATTTGCATCTAAATGTGTTGATAAGAAAATCTTGTAGAAAGATGGAAGATATGTAATTAATGTTTATTTAGTTAAAAGGATGCTTAATTCAATGAAATTTAATTAATGTAAAAGCTCAAACATGATAATATTATATAGTTAATAGATCTTTATGAAGGAGAAAACACATTTTATCTTATTCTAGAATATTTGGAAGGAAAAAGTTTGCATGAATTACTTATTTAAAAATAATCAAATTTTGAATAAGAAAAAATTTAATAAATAATGAAGGTATTTAATATTATATATTAAAGTTAATATTATAAGCAATTGATTATATGCATTCTCAGGGAATAATGCACAGGGATTTGAAGCCAGAAAATATTATGTTTAAATAACCTAATTAATTATAATCCTTAAAAATAGTAGATTTTGGTTTAGCCACTCTATAAAATTTAGATATATATCTATTTCCTAGATGTGGTACACCTGGATATGTGGCACCAGAAATTGCTAATTTAGGAGAAACATTTTAAAAATATTCTGTACTTTGTGATGAATTTAGTGTAGGCTGCATTTTTTATAAACTGTATTTAATTTAATAATTTGAAGATGTACAGGAAAAGAAATCTTTCCTGGAAATGATAACTCAGTAATTATGAAATTAAATTAATAATGTGACATTATTTTAGATGCGCTTAACACAGATCAAACACCATCAGAAGCTATTGATTTATTATCAAAATTACTTAAAGTAAACCCATAAGAAAGAATTAGTGCCAAAGATGCATTATAACATCCATATTTCTAATAATAATACTAAGCTTAAAATCCTTAATTCTCTAATATTTCACAATAAAACTCTGAGCTTTATATTGGCTAATAAAATTTTGAAGCAGTAAGTATTGAAAACTAAAATGCAAAATAATTAAGCTTACCCACTCCTTCAATTATAAAATAATTTGAATATTAATAAAACAATTCTTTTTCAACTTAAAATCCTCAAAATAGAAGAAATATAAACTTATTATAGTCCCAAGAATCCGATCAGAACAATGAGATAACTTTTTCGAGATTTAATAATGTTTAACCATCTTTAGTCAAATATCCAGATATATAGAACAATGTGAAAACCTTTCAAAGTAATTAAGTAGAAAATGGTTGTGTTTCTGAGGCAATCAATTTTATAAGCCAAATTGAAGAGAAGAAAGACGGAGAAGAACTAATGTAGAAATGATTAAATGTTAATTAAGTATTTGATAATTGGCAACATTTTTCACTTTTAATCTTTTTAATATTAAATAGTTTTTAATTAACCTTAAGGAAATAATTAGACAATCATTTCTATCATAAAAGGAGTAAACAGTAGATGATTAATATTTCAATTTTCAATTATTTATGAAATTTTTATTTACTCCAAAATTAAAGGAAGCCTTTCTTTAACCAAAAAAATTAATCTGTTTTCATAAAATTATAAAAATTAAACTACTAAAGTTTATTAAGTAATCTCTTTGCATCAATATTTGAAAAGATACCATCAAAGGAATCTATAATACCTTCTAGATTTGACCATATTTACTTAAATTCATGTATTTCTATGCTAATCCTTTTAATTATTTTAAAAATTTGTAAAATCTTTTAATTTTCTTTTGATGGTTATTTGAATATTAACGAATAAATTAAACTTATTCTACTTTAAACAATAGAACCATAAAACTATATTTGATATCCAATAGATGTTAATATTTGTTCTCTTGTTGTTCTTTAATATTTTTCTAACACTATCATGTTTTTCTATTATTCAAAGTATGTTAGAGTTATGATTAGAATTCTTTTTTTGAGATTCTAAAACAACTGACTATTTGAGATTCTAAAACAACTGACTATATCTTTATAAATTAAAGCTAATGATTCTCTAAGCTTATATGAAGAATTTCCAAACAAATCTATAAGTTTTCTTCCTTATTTAGAAATAAGATCTTTTCTTAATTCTTAAAGAAACAAAGAGAATTTTTTATAATCTAATTTATCTCTAAAAGTTCTATCATCTATCATCTAGCAAGGTTAGTATATTAAAGAAAATGATACTAGCTTTTATTTTTAAATTAAAACTTTATGTTGTAAATAATTATTGATTTATAGACTTTATGAACAAACTCTAATATTAATTATTAATGCCCTTACCACAATTTAATTGTTATATTTTTTAATAATTTCATTTAATTTTTATTGAAAATTTTCTCAATTTATTGCTGATGGCCAATTTTGGAATTATATTTTTTTAATCCTTTAATATACTGATTTTTTTAATTCGCTTATAATCTTAAACCATGATTCAAATTGAATTAGACCATATAAAGATTTATAATTTTCAATTAGTTTAGAATTGAATGTCGTTATTTATAAAAAATGGTTGAGGCTTAAACTTTTAATTAAAGAAGCTTTATAAATCATAAACTGTCCTAAAAATATATTTTATAAATATGAAATTCTTCCTGAATATAAATAAAAACCTTTAATTGAATTTATTATCAGTATAACCCTTCCTTTAAGAAGTATATCTATGCTTTATGTTTATAAATCAGACATGAACTGATAAATTTTCCCCAAAATAAGAATCACCCATAATATTTTGAAACAATTAGTCTTTTGTTTGGAAATTCACAACTATTAATCAATTTTCCATCAAAGGAAAATGAATTAACTATAAATTTAGCAGCTNTCTTTTAATTTTCTTTTGATGGTTATTTGAATATTAACGAATAAATTAAACTTATTCTACTTTAAACAATAGAACCATAAAACTATATTTGATATCCAATAGATGTTAATATTTGTTCTCTTGTTGTTCTTTAATATTTTTCTAACACTATCATGTTTTTCTATTATTCAAAGTATTTTAGAGTTATGATTAGAATTCTTTTTTTGAGATTCTAAAACAACTGACTATTTGAGATTCTAAAACAACTGACTATATCTTTATAAATTAAAGCTAATGATTCTCTAAGCTTATATGAAGAATTTCCAAACAAATCTATAAGTTTTCTTCCTTATTTAGAAATAAGATCTTTTCTTAATTCTTAAAGAAACAAAGAGAATTTTTTATAATCTAATTTATCTCTAAAAGTTCTATCATCTATCATCTAGCAAGGTTAGTATATTAAAGAAAATGATACTAGCTTTTATTTTTAAATTAAAACTTTATGTTGTAAATAATTATTGATTTATAGACTTTATGAACAAACTCTAATATTAATTATTAATGCCCTTACCACAATTTAATTGTTATATTTTTTAATAATTTCATTTAATTTTTATTGAAAATTTTCTCAATTTATTGCTGATGGCCAATTTTGGAATTATATTTTTTTAATCCTTTAATATACTGATTTTTTTAATTCGCTTATAATCTTAAACCATGATTCAAATTGAATTAGACCATATAAAGATTTATAATTTTCAATTAGTTTAGAATTGAATGTCGTTATTTATAAAAAATGGTTGAGGCTTAAACTTTTAATTAAAGAAGCTTTATAAATCATAAACTGTCCTAAAAATATATTTTATAAATATGAAATTCTTCCTGAATATAAATAAAAACCTTTAATTGAATTTATTATCAGTATAACCCTTCCTTTAAGAAGTATATCTATGCTTTATGTTTATAAATCAGACATGAACTGATAAATTTTCCCCAAAATAAGAATCACCCATAATATTTTGAAACAATTAGTCTTTTGTTTGGAAATTCACAACTATTAATCAATTTTCCATCAAAGGAAAATGAATTAACTATAAATTTAGCAGCTTTTTAATATTTGTTATTAGTTATAGTTGAGAAATATACATACTTATTTTAGTTTGTATTATTATTAGTCCAATTTTATCATCTTCTATTACTATCTTGTTCATAAACTAATAGTAGGCCTTCAAAATTTTCATAATTATTAATTTTAGCTGAGAAACATAATCTGTTGATAAATATTAAGACCAAAACCCATAGCCATAGGGGTATTATTTGATCATGTTCTAATAAGCAATCTTTCAAAGTAGTTGGATCACTTTGTTTTGTTTCTCTAATAAATGAGAGCAATAAAAAACATGTCAATTAGCATAAAATCATCTATTAAATTGATAATATTAATATTATATAAATATATATTTATTACTATTTTTATATCAACGGGTTTTTTTTTGTTACTACTTAAAATATACTCTAATTAACTAGAATCTTTTTTATCTTTATTCAATAGATGCTTTGGAATATTTTTAAAAAAAATTAATTTCTTTATTATATTTCTAAAGAATTTCACTTAAAAATTCATAAAAAAAGAAATGATTCATCTTCCAGAAATGAAGTAGAATAATTCCTAAACTTAAAAAGAAAATGACATTTATGAGTATACTTACGATAAAAGCAAAAGTAGGGATATAATTTTCTCCAATTGATGAAAATGTTTATGCAACTAATACTGCTATGCTTATTATATGGAGTTAATTTTCAAATGCATTCATTTATTTGTGATAATAAACATTATTATCTAAAAATAATTTAGTATAAAAAGTTAATATTAGATATGTAAATACTGCTCTAAATGAAATATTTGCATCAATCAAAATAACAATTAAAAGTATTCCATTGTTAAGTATTAATTTATATGATTCCCATTATAAACAATATTTTGAATAGGAAGAAAACCAGAAACCTATCTACTTGAAACGTTATTTTTAATTTAAAAAGGTAGGCGAGTTTATACTTTGTAATAATTATAAAGGCAATATTATTGCAAGAATAATTACAATAGGTAAAAAACAGAAAATTACTAATATTAAATGATTGCTATCTCCATATTGA